GGAATCACCAGATACTTACTGGAATTCCACTGATTTTCTGGCATGGCTTTACAACGACAGCCCCATTAAGGTATCATATTATTTATTTTAACTGCTTCCCATATCGCAACATTTTAGGATGTAGGTGATCACTGCAGATCCACAAGGGACAAGCCACATTTATAAACATGTATGTTGCCTTTATACAAAAAGTGAATTTGTTTTGTGATTGTGGCATATCAGACTGCTTCAGACAAATCTAAGTTTAATTAAATATCAGTATTGCGAGAATGCAAATTCTTTTTTGTTCTTTTTAGGACAAAGTTGTGGTGAATGACCGATGGGGAAGTAACTGCTCATGCCATCATGGAGGATATTATAACTGTGCTGATAAGTTCAGTCCCACTACCCTGCCTGACCACAAATGGGAGAAATGCACATCCATAGACCACTATTCATGGGGCTATCGACGTAATATGGAGTTGTCTCAGATTATGGATGAAGGAAACATTATATCAGTGAGTTAAAATGCATCGTTTTTAAACTGTTGTGCAAGATCTTTGCAGGCCTTCATCTGACACTCCTGTACGAATGCACACCATTTTTGCTATGTTCAAGTGCATTCTCCAGCATTTCCATGGAGAAGAAAGGCAAATTGGTAAGAAACTATGTTTCCTTTCCCACTATCAGACATATTTTCTAGGAGTCTGTCGTACTTTTTTGGGTTTGTTAAAACCATGTCCGAGCTGCATTTTTCTGCACACCGCTGCACATGTATGGTATGAACAGGGGAGATGGAATACAATAGTTTGTACCCTGTTCATACCATTATAGGTGCAGTGGTGTGAAAAACACAGCTCAACAGACTTGTGTGAACAAGCCCTTATTCGGTGGAAAGTTATTACCATGGCAACTCTCTTTACCTATGATGGTGATTTAGTCTGACACCTACCAATTATTTTAGCTGTTAATTGGGCATAAATGGTTAGGGCCAGGCATACCTAGGGTGTATGCCTGGATTTACTACCCCTTCCTCTAAGCCCCCTTGTTGATTTAAAAACAAAAAACAAAAAAAAGTTTCCCTTACAGGTGGTATTCTATCTATATATCTATAATTTTTATTTATTTCCTCTACTAAAACTGTATTTTGTGATTTCTGATATTTGAATATAATTCCTCTCAGGACCTTGTGCAGACTGTGAGTTTTGGAGGAAATTATCTCTTAAATGTGGGACCCAGCAAAGAGGGCTTGATCATGCCAATTTTTCAAGAGAGACTTCTCAATATAGGAAAATGGCTGGACATCAATGGTGAGGCAATTTATGCCTCTAAACCTTGGCGAGTGCAGAAAGAAAATACTACATGCGGTGTTTGGTAAGTGCTGTATAAAACCTATTGAACACTTATGTCATCATGCTCTGCTGGGCTACCTTTTTATAGGTTTAAAGTCCTTTTAGAAGAGACAGGTGCTAATGTTACAGGCAGAAGCAGTGTTTGCTTGAGAATAGGGACAGCGTCATACAAAGTCATGTGTAACAGCATTGCTTCCAGGAATAGAACAATGGAAGCTTTCAATACAGGTTGAGAGCTGTAACAGCCATCCTGACGACAGGTTTCCATTTCAATGCAAAATGGCCATACTGACTAAAGAATTATAACCTTTTGTTGTGAAGTGTTTGCATTTCCTAATGTCACTGGTAAAATCTAGGTTATCCCTCTCGCAACTAAAACAAATTACTTTTGTTTTATCACTTTTTAACAAGGATGGTCTATGTTGTGGTTTTTTAAAATTATTATTCTCCCCAGGTACACTTCCAAAGAATCCGTTGTATATGGCATCTTCCTAACATGGCCTGAAGAAAATCAGTTAAAGTTGGTTTCACCAAAAGCCTCTCCATTTACCAATGTGAGTATTAAAAATGCAGCATACACTATTTGATATCTAAAGTTTTAAACTCGAGCCAAATCTTTACGTTTTAGATAGAGATGGTAAGAGTTAGAACACCTGTCTAATTTGTGTATGAGGAGGTAGAAAGGGGAAGTGGTCTTAACATGGAGTGCAATAAAAAAAAAAAAAATTAAACAAAGTGCATCTTGTGCAGTTCTCCGGAGGAAGATGGTACTGCAGGGGAAATGGAATTTTAATATCAAGGTACAAACAAACAAACAAAATCCTACCCAGGAGGGCTTAACGACACTATGTATAGAGGTTTTTCCTTATCATTTCCCCTTGATTCTGTATTTGTCTGTAGGTGACCTTGTTGGGACTCTCAGGAGAACTGCAGTGGAAACCAGACCCAGAGTTGGGGCTTATCATTCAACTGCCATCCATTCCTCCTGGTGTTTTCCCTGTGGAATACGGCTGGACACTCCGATTGGAGGGAGTAAACTAAGTTTTGGAAATCGACAACTAAAGGAAATTGTAGTTCAATTCTTGAATATTTTGTACAATTGTGAGGACTGAATTATCAGCCAGTTGTCTTTTTGCTGTTAAAGATGATCTGGTTGAGCTGACCTCATACTGTGTGATATCATTAGATTTAAATTGATTTTCTCACATTTCACAAAGTGTTGGTGCCTTCAGTTTGGGGTGTTTGTGACATGCTAGATCTAGGGGTTTATGAAGTCTTTATTGAGCCTCAATTAAATCTGTACTTTTGAGGAGGGTGCCAGCTACTCAGGGACAAACCTTGCACTTGATAAACTACTGTTTTTGCTCTCTGATTATAGTCCACTATGTAAGCATCACATGAGAATTGCACTAAAAGACCTGTTCACAGCTTTATTAAAATTATTCTTTGTGGACCCATTCACACTTCTGAATTTAAAAATGCGGGCATTTTAAGTAAGATTTTTCTGTTGCCATGCTCTGCAGTGTGTGCTTTTTTTTTTTTCTTAATCTTATCACTCCGACATATGGAAAAATAAAATGGCTTACAAACATTTGTAAACATAAAAGTGTGAATGGCCCCTAGCTTAGAGTTAACTTCAGAGCATTCTAGGGGCTGTCATTGCTCACCTACTTGATAGAATACTTGTTAACGCTGATCTCGAGGCTTTAATACTTTCTGGTCCACTGACTTGGAATAAGTATGCAGATTACAGACCATACAACTTGAATTTTCAGACCTGGAGGTCAGATCTTGGCATCCTTAATGTTTCTCTCATGGCAGGTGTCTTTTAAGCATTTAGCAGCACCCTTGGGCTCCATTCACATCTAGCATTTTGTAGCACTTTCTCTGCCCTAAAAACAAAAACCCACCCAAAACGAAATCCCCTTATATTTCTATGGTCAGGTTCACATCTGAGTGTTTTGCCGATTGTAGCGAAACACCCATCATTGGAAAAAAGCTTTATGAGCTTCTTTTGGCAGGTTAACCGCTTCTTGGCTCATAAACTTCACTGGAAATGCTCAAAAATGTGCCTTTGCTGTGATTTATTCCAGTTTGCCCATTGTTATCAGTTTGTCACAATCTGGTTGCAAAAATGCGCGACTAAATATATTCACATAAAACATCCAAAAAAATGCTGTCGCCTAGGTGTGAATGCAGCCTAAGGTGTCATGCGCGCACACAACGCAAGAGCAAAATTGTATATTGCGTATATGCGGGCACTGTATGCAATCCCAGAATGCATCATTCTTAGACATTTGCGCACGTACACACACACACACACACACACACACACACACACACACACACACACACACACGTAAAATATGGAGCCTGGATGCATCTCGGGGTTTGTTTGGGGGTTTTTTTTGCACATCTTTTATGCAGCACAAATATACGGCTGCATATGCAACTATGTGTATGGAGCCATTTATTTGGATATGGGAAAATACACTGCTCATCTATACACAGTTTATTGTACGGCAGTGTGACTGAGGCCTAAAAGACCGTTCATGCATATGGTTTTGGCTACTGCATTGGTGGAAGGCAATGAAAAACACACCCTGTTACACATGTATCATTGTTTGGGGGGTGAGGAACCTGTCAATGACAAGATTAAAGGCATGCAAGGTTTATGGGATGCTTCCTTTGGCCAGTGCTGCATTACGTGACCCATTCTTTTTATGCTTTGAGGTGATTTGTAGTTTGCTTCTGCTTGTATAGAAGTCTCTTTGATCCATATTTGATAGTGAATGATTTGGGTGTATTGGCTGACCACTGCACATATTCTTACAGGTCAGCATTATGTTTTTCAGGGTTCAATTATTTTCTACTTATTTCTAATAAAATACCTACCTATTGGTCAGCAGTGTTGTTTTGTGTACTTTATTCTGGAGCATAAGCCCTTCTCTTAGGAGGAAAGAAACTAAGCTCCTGGACAGAAATCTGAAAATGTGGTCCAACACTGGGTTCCTGGTCTGATGAAGGAACTGAAGATTGTCTTGAAGATCCTTTTTGCTATTATCTAGCTGTGCCATGTGAATTTAGCCAGATGTGCATTTCCTCTGTGCAGTCCCTTTTGTACTGTCACACTAGATTCACTGCTAGAAATACATCTGCTAGCTGTGTGCTTCCCTCAAACTGGTGGTTCCATTGTTTGGATTCCTTGTTTTACCTAATTTGTTTTCTGATTTACTTTTAAAGGAGAACTCTGGAGTCCGTGCTTTTCCCCATAGTCCTCCTTTAGGGTAACGGGAGGACACAAACTAGCGTCCTCCCTTCACCCTAAGCTCAGTATACCGCGAGCTACAGCTCGCGGGATACTGAGACGCCGCAGCGGATCCCGACATCGATGTCGAAATCCGCCCAGCTGTGTGAGTGACAGCTGGCTCTGCCTAGCTAGAGGCAGAGCCAGCTGTACCCTCCCCCGTCCGTTCGCTAGTCAGCGCTGGCGGAGCGGGGAAGGGGGAAGCCAGCACCTCCCCTGTCACGGCAGAGAGCCGTGACAGGATTGAGAAGTCAGCGAACACCGGCATGTGTTCGCTGACTTCCCGATCTACTGAGCTGACCTGTGACAGTCTCATTGTCACAGGTCGGCTAGAACTATGAGGTGAGTGAAAAGCACTCACCTCATAGTTCTCCTTTTTAACTTTAAGAATTCTGCTCTCAATACTTCTGATGAAAAGGGAAGCTTTCATTGCTACCTACCCTGCTGCTGTCACTGGAAGAGGAAGATGTAACTAAATGGCTAATATTAATGGCACTAAACTTTAAAGGCCACTGTACCTACATTTAATAATTTTCCTGGCTGGTTTAGGCATGCCGTTTTCTGTAAAAGTATTAGCTTTTCTTTTCTGATTGCTCTGCCTATTTAAAAGCAGAGCAAATAGTCTTCACCCTCTACATGGTCTGCAGCGTGGCAGGTGGAGGCTAGGTGCTGGAATGCACTGCGGAATGTATGTACTGGTTTAGTTAGCTACAAGAGTTCTTTCTGGGTCCATCGCTGTGGCACAGTCCCAGGTGTGACCCTGTTTCTGAAGACTCAGTGAATAAAGCCTGTTGTACTGAAGCAACAGTAGCTACCGTTACAAGATGCACCATTGGGCACCACTTCAAATTTTCTGCCACTACTGGTTCATTGTGGTATTTGTTAATACTCAGACTGAGCACTAGAAGTCATCCACTGAGTGGAATGAGATATACACATTCTGTGATCGCTTTTCTGCCAGTCAATGTGAACAGAAGCACCATCCCACTGCAGATCTTGCTTTCAAGTAACTCTGGTCTCCAGTCTGCTACCACTGTCCATGTGCAGTGACCTGGTCCTCTCCATTCCCCTGACTTCAATTAGCACCAGCTTCCTTGGGTGTGTAAATAATTGTAGCCTTGCCTTGCACTTTGGGCCTTGTTGCATTACCCCCTGTGTGGCCACATATCTTCCCAAAGACACACGGGACAGTCCTGCTGATATGTGAATAATTGTAACCTTGTCTTGAACTTTGGGCCTAGTTGCATTACCCCTATGTGGCCACAACATGTCTGCATAGAAACGCACAGGGGACAGTCCAGCACACAGCCCAATCCAGACCATACTTTCCTAGCAGTTCTGGAGGTGTCTACTCAGTATCTTGTAAAGGAACTGGCATCTGTAATCTGAAACCTAGCACCTCCATTGTTATTGGGTCTTCTTCATTTAAAGTGACATTAAACCCTCAGATTTTTTAACATAAAACAATACTGTAATGTGTGCCTTACTGTAATCCACGGTAGTTTCCCTTCTCTTTGCTGCTCTTCCTTTTAAATCCTCATGTCTTATCATGCTTGGGGAGAACCTCCCTTTGCAGCTGAGTGCCTCTTCCTGTAGTGCTGGCTCAGGTTGTGAACCTTCACACAGACACAATGTATCCATTTCAGAGACAAGGCAGTCTGCTGCAAAACAGAAGCATGAGAAGAGATACTGATTTAAAAGAAAGAGCAGCAAAGAGAAGGGAAACAACCATGGATTACAGTAAGGCACACATTACAGTATTGTTTTATGTTAAAAAATCTGAGGGTTTAATGTCACTTTAAGTCTTCCATAACTCCGTCAGTTGAGGCAGAGTTACTGGCCCTTTTCTCAGGGACCTCCATGTCCACTCTGGATTTATCACCATGTATGCTCAACTCCTTGTGCACACTGATTGCAGAGGGCCTCAATGTGTCCCCTAGATCAGTCCAGACTACTGGTCCATATAACCTCTAAATCTGAGTGCAAACAGTCTATTTACGGGGTGTTATTTCAAACCTTAAGAACACTGTGTGTGTGTGGTGTTTTTTTTTTTTGGGGGAGGGGGTTTGTCTGTCTCCAGGCTTTGAGCTCCTACAGCTGCAAAGACCTTTCAGTTACACCCATTATTCCAGGAAATCTTTCTATATGGTTGGGTAGTACCCTGAGCAATCCTAGGTCCCACCTAAGAATGAGCTAGAAATGTTCCTTTTTGAGAGGGAATTCGTTAAACTCTAGGCTGTTTGACTGTTGATCAACCAGTGTACCACCTAAATAGGAGCAACACCAATGAGGTAGAAGGTTTGCTTACCTTTTTAAAGAGTCTACTGATGCTGTCGGAAAGCCTCCTCAAATCCCAGTATGAGCTTAGTTGGTCCTGCCCTCTGTCCTGTGTCGGCAGTGACTGAGCTATTAAAATGTGGCAGAGTGAGTTGGCACCCTCATAAGGGAAGGATCCTCTGCTGGGGTGGATGTTTGTTTTTAGAGCATGTGCAAAACAAATGTATGGAGCCTTATATTTCAAAAGGTCTAAAATTTCTGCATGAAGGTGCTCACCCATTTCTACATGTCTGGGGATATCTACATCCTGGAGGGACCTTGGGTGGCCTCTCCCTCTGGCATTCATGAGTAGTGAGCTGCCCTTTTAGCCCTCAGGATAATACCTTGCCTCCGGTACTTCCTTTTAGTTAGCACTTTTCATTTTTCAGGAGTAACTCATCCCTGGGACTACTGTCTGATCCCTTGGAACAATTCGTTGTTTTCATGTCAGGGGACCCTACATTGACCAAGTTTCCTGCTTTAGACCCTGCTGCTCACCATGTAGGTGTTGCAGTAACGTCGTCTCCAGACAGGAGAGGAATGCCACTCTGCATCAGGGTAAGTTCCTGGATTCCAGTGATGGGTGCTGCCCAGAATGTTAGTCCCACACAGATGGTCCTTCAGAAGGCTGCTGCATTGGAACATGGCTATCTTTAACCAGTAGTGGCCGCACTGAGAGGAGTGACGTGTGCACCTGGTTGCATCTTTGAGCCTTTGCAGTGGATGGAGATCTTCAATGGAACTTTCTGCGGATGAAAGTGCCTATCCAGAAGACTTCATGAAATCTCTTCACTGTGGGGTTGGGCCCCCGTCCCAGGGTGATTGGCAATCCCCTGGGGAAGTACACACCTATTCTTATTCTTATTCAGACTAGTGCTTTGGCTAAGATTCCTGGCCCTTGCTCCATGGCTATCAATGCTTCATTGGATCTTAGGGGAATCCAGAGCTTCCGTGACTAAACAGTGGTGGATAAGGGTAGGCAGGAGTTGCGTAATTTTGTTGCTGAAGGCCTGTGGGTCCCCTAGGAAATCAGAACAAGTTTAGTTTTATTTTCATCCTCTGTGTCTCTTGGAGGTCCGCATCTTACCTGTCAGGGGCTGTGACCTAGTGCTTTATTCCCACATACCCTGGTGGTGGTGTCTTCTGGCACACTCTTTCTCCTATCATATTGTCTTTGTGCCATCGGTCTTTACATATTTTTTTTTGAGGGCTCAACGGTCTCCTCTTGCCCTTTTTGGGTTATTAGGATGTACCATGCCATACTTTCTGAGTTACCTCCCTTTTGTGAACTTTGTTGTCTGGTGAGGCAACCTTTCTTAGTCACATATATTTATACCCTTATCCCTACCGCTTAGGGCCATCAGACTTTGACCTTTCAGTTTAGAGTGACTGGTTTTTTCTTGGACCTGTCTTTCGTGTTAGGGTTTTTCTTAAAACCTGTTCTTTTTCCCCATGGTTTTGTTAGGTTGACCATATTGCGTTGTTCCTTTCTTCCCCCTTTTCAAAGTGTGTCATTGGTCCATCTGTTTTTGGTGTTTTCTGGTTGTTCAGCTTTTGCTTTCTCAGAATTCAGTTTTACCCGTGTTAAGTCTTTCCCCTCTGGTGGTGCTCCTTTCATCTTGTCTGAAGGTTGACCCTCTGTGCTCTTCCTTGGTGGTGTAATTAGGTTCTCATCATCCTTCAGATTTAGTCATTTTTAGTCAAATCCCATCACTTCCTGAACAAAAGACAGCCGCTTTGGACCGGTTCATTAACTTCATCGAATCATTGTAATTGCTTTTGGAATAGTCCATGTCAGAGGAATCTGGGGGTGCTTGCCCCACCTTTTTCCATAGGCACAAACATTTGAAAATATCATGATTCTGGAACCTACCCTAAAAATAATAATGAATACTGTACTTTTTTTTGGCAACCAAACTGCACAAAATTCAAATAACCGGAATGATTCCTCAAAATCCTCTTTATTTTGACACACTCCTGCATCACTTCCAGCCGCAGCAGACATCCATATACAAGGTGTAACTATAAGAGTATGCAGCCAGCCTTTTGAATGAATTGATCATAGATGGTAACCTAAATGTAGTTACTGAACTCTATTAGGGTAGAAAGCTGGCCATAGATGAGAGGTGTCTCATGGAGTACACTGGACGTAAGGATGGCCACAGATAAGAAGGTGTCACAGGGAGAGCACAGTGGTATATCTAATTAGACCCATGGAGTTGGAAATACACTGAAATATACAATTATGCAAATGCATCAACACCTGGTTGCGAGTAACAGATTATGTGGATTGGAGCGACATTCGCCATATTTATTCCCAGAGAATTTTTGTACAAGTAATTCTGAATTGAGAAAACTGGTTAGATGACCAGTGAAACGTCTTCAAGAAAAATAGAGCAAGTCCAGTTGCCTTGACTTATTTTTTACAGATATACCATGACCTGGATGAATGAGAACCTCCACAGAAATAATGTCAGAATGGTATTTATTTTTTTCAATAAATATGTATCCATCCCTTCTCCTGACTTGTACTTGAATAGTGAAGGAGAAGCAACACACAGATTAGCTCATCTCTGTCCCTCTGCATTAGCATATTTCTTGTTAGAACACAAACACTGCAGCACAACTGGTTGGCTCCTTGTGCATGCTTTTTCCTCTTCCAGTGCAAGCTCTGTAGTACAGGTGTTTGCAAAAGGCTGATACCAAGTCCAATGCAGGTGCTTTCACTAGTTGGATTTAAAATACACATATTTATTTTAAATGAATATTACCTGCATGAATTGGTGTTTATCTCCCTGGAGTTCAGCTTTAACTGTGGAAGTGGTGCTGAACTAGTACTGTTCCAAGGTTCAGGCAGTGGGAGCTTCTGCTGAGTTGGGCATGTATAAAGGATCAAGTAATGTCTGCAGAACAACTTTCAAGCCTTACAAAGTAGCTTTGGTCCACCTTATGTGCTGTATGGCCTCTACATATATTTACAAATGTGTGCAGCTGGTACCTCTGTTGTCATTAAAATGGCTGGGCTCAGTATTTTTTTGTAAATAATTGTGTTCTGTCAGACACAGTACAAATAACATCCCTTTGACCTCCAATTGAAAACTACAACCTCCTGCAAAAAAAAAAAAAAGATATAGCATACAGTGGCTTGTGTAGCAAATATATTTTGTAAATATCCTATTCCTTTAAATCTGCAGCCACCTAGGATATTCAAAAACTACCAAAACTGCTTAATTTCACTTCCTGCTAACAGGTCTCTGGATGCATTTGGTTACAGTTTTTATACAGAACAACCCCAGAAATATTTCACTTCCTTCTAGCAGGTCTATGGATGCATTTTATACCAGGTTTTGTACAGAACAACCCCAGAAACATTTCACTTGCTGCTAGCAGGTCTCCGGATGCATTTTGTTACAGTTTATGTACAGAACAACCCCAGAAATATTTCACTTCCTGCTAGCAGGTCTCTGGATGCATTTTGTTACATTTTATGTACAGAACAACCCCAGAAATATTTCCAGCTTATGTGATTTGCTCACTGTTTCCTGGAGACCTATACAGAGCTTGAATGAAATGTTCTGTATATCTTTTTCTGTCCATGGGTTTACTACAGTGTGCCCTTTATTACTGGAGATAATTTGGCTACAGATCTGCAAGGGTGCTGCTGCTGAAATAATTCTCAAAGTACAACAATGGGACTGATCAAATGATTAGAGAATGCAGACCCACTTATCAGTACGTGAAATTAGATTACTGGATTGGCCTGTTTATTTAACTCCAGGAAGCAGATATTAAATTTTGATTAAAAATCCTTACAAAGCATATAACTGGCCTTGAGAAGATTGTTTCAACAATTGTGGAGTTTTAAATAAACTATGTTGTGATAGGTAGGTTTCGCTTTCTATGAATAGACATTGTCAATGCTGATGAGTTTTTTTTTGCCAGTGTCCAATCTACATTTCCGGTCTCAGACTGCAGGATGATTGCAGCACAGCTTTCACTTTTTATTTTGTGAACTGTGCCTTTCACTGGTTATGAAAACAAGGATGTACCGTAAGTAAAATAAGTCAGCTTATAACTAAAACAATGTAAAGCACTTTAGACGAAAAAGTATAACTTGATGATGTTCCTAGAAGTCCAAGGCGTTAGCTGAATGACCGCAATAGGAAAATGTCTTCAAGATCCTCCTAATAGTGATTTCACAAAGAAGTTTGATCCACATGCATGTCGTTACAGCAAGTCCTTAAATACTTTACAAAATAATTATTCTATTTTCAGTAGTTTCACTCAGTCTGCGTATCCTAATGGTGATTTAAAAATCATTTAGCAGTACTCCGAAAAGTCATCATCAACATAATTTGAGGGGAACCAACCGATCTGAAAAAAATAAAGAAAATCATAACTTTAATAAATACATAGATGTGTCATGCAATATTCTGTCAAAGCTCAGTAATCTAGAAGTGAAAGTGTTGAGCCCTGCACAAGAATGAATCTCATACTACTAAGCAATTAAAAGTCAACCACATAGTGAAGTCCTTAGCAATAATGGTCTTTAAGACTAGTTAAGCCTTGTGGGTAATCTAGTCCTAGATAGTAATACATGCTAAAATTATAGTGGACTGTGGTCTGATATCTGCCAAGCTCAGAGGGGACAATAGTGTGGTGCATTCTGAACTTGTGGAAGACAATATTATAATGTATTCTAAAC